TTGTAATCATAATATTTAGCACACAGGAGGTTACATTAAATAATTATAGACAGTACTTCAAACACCACATTAGCAGATCCTTACACAGCGCTGCAGATCTGCAACAGACAAACCCACAAGCGAAAAGCACAATCATTTTCAAGCTGTGAGTCATGCTTAAGTCCTGGGCTCCTCAGAGAACTGTGAGCCCTGTCTCCTGTTTTGGTCCTAAGACTTGCCATAATAGATTGTTTTTACAATCCCAGGTTTATGTGGAATTATGTGAAAATGTGGAAGAACAGCTTGCAACATGACCCACGTCTGTTCTAAACACTCACTGATCTTACAGGCAAACAAAAATAATCGACATGAATTTAAGTATCTAGATTTCTATTTCCTTCCTTATTCCACACAAAATGTTTGAGTTTTTTATTTCTTATCTCACAATTTTTTTAATTTTGCTGCTGAGAGTACAAACACATTCACATACTGGATTCGACTGAAAAGTTCTCGCCTTCAGTATGAAGGGCCATGTATCTCAATTACATGTGACCACTGCTCACACTTCTTCAAAAGCACAAAATCCTTAAACTCCCTCTGAATGCTGAACTAAGGTTAACTAAAGCACTACATTTATAACAAATGTGGGAAAAAAAGTATGGAACTAGCTAGGGAGTTGATAGATCTCGATGCATAAATTCAGACATTCTTAACCATCTTGACTGGAACATCTCTGCTATGAGGAGAGGCTGAGGGAGCTGGGCTTGTTCAGCCTGAAGAAGAGAAGGCTGCGAGGGGACCTTATAAATGCTTACAAATATCTGAAGGGTGGGTGTCAGGAGGATGGGGCCAAGCTCTTTTCAGTGGCGCCCAGTGACAGGACAAGGGGCAATGGGCACAAACTGAGGCACAGGAAGTTCCGTCTGAACATGAGGAAGAATTTCTTCCCTCTGAGGGTGACGGAGCACTGGAACAGGCTGCCCAGGGAGGTTGTGGAGTCTCCTTCTCTGGAGATATTCAAGACCCGCCTGGACAAGGTCCTCTACAACCTACTGTAGGTGACCCTGCTCCGGCAGGAGGGTTGGGCTAGATGACCCACAGAGGTCCCTTCCAACCCCTACCATTCTGTGATTCTGTGATTCTGTGATTCTGTGACTTCTATAATTTTTGTCTTGTGCCAAGTGTCCTCTAAAATTTTCTAGCAAACCCAGTATGAAAGTCTAAGGGTTTTATTTATCTCCGCTGCTGAGGTAGTAACAATTGGTCTAATCTAGTCTAATCTATCACTTGAAGTTTATTTCATTATCATCTTCCAGTTCCATGTATCTCTCCTCAATGCAGAAGCAGCGTTTTTCTTGAAGAATACATGGTGTGAGTACGCATCCAAGCTCATCCTTTTGTCCCTTTCAAATAATCCAACATGACGGTTTAAGCAATGGTGGCAGAATGTGAGACTGAAAGACCATAACCATTTTTTGACTGGTGTACTGAACACAAGTTACGATTGAGCATGAAGAATAAACAAATCTGTAAGTTAAATAGAAAATGTTAGAGCAAAGCTATCAGAAAAAAAGATATGGATGGCAATTACTTAATAAAATATGCCTATACAAGGAACATGCTGTTGGCATTCATCTTCCTTTTTCTTCACAATATTTTATAAGTTATTTTTATGTGGTGCTGAGGATCCTTTGCAAGGTGTCAAGCACCTCAGAAAATACTTGAATTTAGCATTTGATAGAAAACTAACCACTATTTACTCTCTGTGTTTAGCAAATATATAAAACTAACCACTACTTACTCTCTGTGTTTAGCAAACTTTGTTAGAAGCCAGGTTTATAAAAGAGTTTATAGGATGCTTCAGAAAGTTAAGCATCTTCCTAGCAAAGATGGAGTGCTGATTTAATTTAGGGATAGAAAAAAAGAGCATATTACATAAATCCATGCATATGTAAACATAACACAAGTATATATCACAGAATCACAGAATCACAGAATAGTAGGGGTTGGAAGGGACCTCTGTGGGTCATCTAGTCCAACCCT